TACTACTGTATTGAACAAGCTAGAAACCCATAACCGCATGCTCCTTAAAATCTTATTTAGCAAAGATCGTCGCTTTCCCTCCGCTAGTCTTTACGAAATTGCCAAGATCAGTCCCCTTTCCACTCGACATAAGTACCACCTCTGTGTTCTCATACATAAAATATTACTAAATAAAATACCCTTGCATATGCAGGCTTATAATTGGTTCTCCGAAACACGGAATACCCGGAACTCACTCAGTCTCCCACGCGCTGCCTCCACCCTATTCACTAGATCCCCGATCTTTGCTGGCTATGTGTTTTGGGCAACATTACCAACGCAGGCCAAGACCAGCACGTCGATGGATAATTTTGTTGCTAAAATCTCTGCTCAATTATAGGTTTCATGTATATCCTGCTGGTTTGTCTCCTCCTTTGCCTTCTTTGCTTCTTATTTTGTATTCTTTTATCTGTTTTACTGCTGTGGTTGGCTTTCACCCTTGTCTCAGTTTTATTGGCCGTCATCATGATGTGCCATGAGATAATGATATAAATACAAATACAAATACATACCCATTCTTCCAAGTTGCTTCACGTTATGATCTTGCGTTTCAAAGCCCTACTGTAAAAGCCATATATAACGAAGTGCTAACTCTAACGAGTTAACGAGGAGAAATCTGTCGTTAAAATAGAAATCGCTATACAGAAATCGATACATAATTATACTGTCCTACTGAGCGTTGAGAATGAGTGAGAATCGTTACCTTTGGTACACGTAAACTAGTCAATTTTGGGAAATCGTTATATATGCGCCAGAGTTAGAATAAGTATAGATTATAGACCGGTTAGGAGGTCTATACAGGATATATAGACCGAGTAAAAGACCGAGGTCCCCCGAGGTCTTTTACGAGGTCTATATATCCTGTATAGACCAACTATGAGGTCTATAATCTATTTATCGTGTTCTCCACGCAATAGTTTCTCTTCATATACGACATATCCTTGTAATTCTAGTATTATACTATAGCCTATACCGCATTGTACGGCATTGAAAGTCAAGGTCATTGTTTAAACTAGGTTCAGCATCGGTAGCACAGTGGCTGGGTGGTAAGGAAGAGTGACTGAGATTCACAAGGTTGTGGGTTCAAATCCCATATTGTGTACTTCTGCTTTCTTCAAAAATTTCTTTTTTTAAGTTGGAGAGAAAATTTCTAAGTCCAAGAAGTTCTAAGGAGTCAAATATAAGTAGTCAAATATATCGTGTATTTGACTAAGCAGTCAAATACGCGATATATTTGACCGCTTAGGTATCAGGGAAATTAGTGGGGTCAAATACTAAGAAGGCGATAATGGCTTTTACAGTATTTGAATATTGCGGGCAGCTGTACGTGGCCAGCTGTGTTTGATGGTACGGTACGGGAGACGGTGTCGTATTACCCTCGATCGCACCTGTCCCGTACCTATCCCTACCGTACCATCAAAGACAGCTGGCCACAATGCATATTCAAATAGGGCTTTCAAATGCAAGATCATAACGTGAAGCAACTTGGAAGAATGGGTATGAATGCGAAGTGTATGGGGGAATGCATGTAGGGCGATAGTGCGGGTTCGAATCCCAGGTTATGTCTTTAAAAAAGGAATTTTATAAAGAATTTATAACATCCCTATGCTTTTTTTGTCTAGGTCATCAAGGCAAAAAAAGCATAGCGTAGGGCCTTGAGCTTCCAAGCTCTCTCGTTTCAGGATTATCCGACAAGGACCACCCGTCGTGTGCTCTGACTGTGAACTAGATATAACGTACATCATGCAATGCACTGGTACATGTGTAAACCAAGACTACGATCAGTCGTTTTTTACCGGAATCTTCAAGTGGCTGAAGCCAAACTGACTGCACAGATCCAACGAGAAGAATGCAAATGATGTCCGTGTAACCCAGAGTCCCAGACCTGGGGAAGTTGGAAAAGGAGACGCAAATAACAAGAAAACGTGGAAAAGAAAGCTGAAGATCTATCTACGCCTCCACCGACAAGACTGGGTTTGGAAAACAGATATCTGGCCATGATTGATCCGCTCGTGGTCTCTCGTCTGCAATTGTTCCTGCTCGCAACCTGATGATGTAGGTGTATTTGTACATATTTGTATTTATGGATTCTCCACAGGCCTTAGCCAAAATCGAGGGAGTCTCCGTCAACAGCTTATGAAGAAGAAGCTGAGGAGAAAAATAAAAATAGGAAATAGAATGATGCGGGGTGGTAATGATCAACTTCACGATCCCTCCTTTCTCTCCCTCCTTGGTTATACTAGTGATCTTTCTTCCCTGGCTCCTTTTCCAGTCCTGTCAATTGTATTATGGATTACTCCAAACTATTATTTCAATTTGAAGAAGACGTTCGTGCCACTTTCGGCGATACTTGGGGAATTATGTGTTGCTCCCTACTTGGGAGCTTGCGCTATTCCTGCCGACTTGAATCCTCACTTGACTAACTCATGACTGCCATTCAGAGCACACGAGAAGTCCATCGAACCTTCCACTCGGCAAACCTGCAAGAAATCACCACTGCCTGCTCAATACACAGTGTTTCGGGGAATCCTTTTTAGCGCGTATTGGCTTGTGATTTCCTTTCTTCTGTTTGCTTTAGCATTTTATCGTTCCACAGGTACCCTCGGTCTCAGGTACTCTCATGTTTGTGCAATTGTTAATTTTGCTCCTGATTTGTCCTCCCTGTTGCTTTGCTACCGTCCTCCTCCTTCCTCCACCCTTTTTCTTAATTCACCTCATTATCACATTCGCTTCCATGTAATTGGGCTTGTAGCCCGTGTGTACTTGCGAATTCAAATAAAATTATACATACATACATCCACCCCATCGGTTTTCCCCGAAACACTGTGTATAGGCCAATAGGCCTCGACCAAATATGCTAAAAAAGAGCATTTTATGCTAGTCGCATATCAGGGAAAACGTCCATAATGACTATGCCAAAGGCTTAGCAAGATATGCAAAAAGATATGCCAATATATGCCGCAAAAATATGCTCGAGATAAGCAGAAAGTGTAGGTCATTTCAGTAAAATTACAACCTTGGAATATTCATTGGCTCCACGGCTATCATGCTTATGGTGCAAATCAAAAGACATGCGGAATAGGATGGCTGCGGTGTGTCCCCAGCAACCGTAGCGATAGTGTTCATCCATGTGGAAATGTAGCAAACGCCTCAACCATTCCAAACTCATCCATAAAAGGCATTTCTGAACGCATTTTGTCCATAATATGAATGTTTTGTCCTCATTTTCTGCAGAATATTTGAATTATATGCGGGCTTCACTCCAATATTCCCTTTGTCGCCTAATATGCTATAATATGAGCTCTGTCACAAAATGCGCGGAAATATGCGCAAGCATATTTGATCGAGGCCTAGTAAGGAACAGTATGTTGGTGAAACGGAAAGAACTGTTCGTAAGCGTTTTGACACTGACTCACGCCACCGCCTAGTCCTCGCATCCTCGCGATGTGTTTGTCGCGCTGGATACGGAGCGTCACTGTAAGTAACCCTGGTGATCTTTTGGCTCTCGGATCAGAAATTCCATTAGCCTACTCCAGCTCAACTAATGAGGGCTGAATTCCCCGAAACACTGTGCCCTTAATTAATAGGGTCCGGCGGATTCGAAGACGAAGGGACAGTCAACTAACCTCTCCTGGTACAACGAGCGGCGACTACGAGTGACTGCAACACTTGTTAAGATTATTGCAAGCCGACGAAGTGATGATTTCTCCACCATCATCAACAGGAAATTGGCTCCACCGCAGCATCCTACAGCGGCTATGAAGTATGGCTTAGCGCATGAATGTGATGCTGTCAAAGCCTACATCATACGTGCACAGACTTCGGATGTTCCTGTTGTCGTCGAATCCTGTGACCTTTTCATCCATCCAGCCAAACCATGGCTTAGTGCTTCGCCTGATGGTCTCGTCATGGTCAATGGTAAACTGCAGCGTGTGGTGGAGATCAAGTGTCCTTTCACCATGCGGAATGGTATGTCGCTTCGTGAGTTTGCTGGATGGCGGACTTCATGCTTGACGGATGTTGATGGCAACTTGGTCCTCAAGCGAACGCACACCTACTACTACCAAGTTCAAACGCAGATGTATGTTTGCGGTGTGGAGGCTGCCGACTTTGTCATATGGTTTCCAGATGGTCTGTTTGTGGAAACTGTCGCTGCTGATCATTCCCTTGTGAAGGAGTTTCTGCCCCGACTGGAGAAATTCTATTTCTCGCATTACCTTCCGGCCATTCATGCTGCTCTAATGTGATGTTCAATGTCAACACTGGACTTCTTTCGAACTTTCTTTTCCTAGTTAATTTTTTTTTTACTAGAGCCACGTAAACCCGTCATGTGTGTGCCATCAATAAGGGGAGTGGTGGCGTGGTCTGGGATGCTCTGCCGACCTTGGGTCTCGGCTTCATCACAACCAGTCCAATAGCAGAGAGAGAGAGAGAGAGAGAGAGAGAGAGAGAGAGAGAGAGAGAGAGAGAGAGAGAGAGAGAGAGAGAGAAAGATAGAGAAAGAGAGAGAGAGAGAGAGAGAGAGAGAGAGAGAGAGAGAGAGAGAGAGAGAGAGAGAGAGAGAGAGAGAGAGAGAAAGAGAGAGAAAGAGAGAGAGAGAGAGAGAGAGAGAGAGAGAGAGAGAGAGAGAGAGAGAGAGAGAGAGAGAGAGAGAGAGAAAGAGTTCTTGTTTTCCATTCAATCATAAAATGCACTGTTAGTTCTCGTGGAGTACTTACAATCTTCTTTCAAAGTGATGGTGTGGGGTGGTGCCAAAACCAGAAAGAACAGAGTAATGACAACGCTCTCAGCAAATAGAAAGAATAATGCGCACAGCTGCACCTAAATAATACAGTTTACCACCGTTTATGTCTGTGATAATATAAAAATGTTCGCTTATTTACATAATCATGTACATTGTTCAACAGAACAGGGCGATTTATGAATGAAGGTGTGAAAATTGTATTGACATCGAGACCATATCAGGTAGCAACCAATGTGGGTTGGTAATTGCATAAAACACACGCTGAGAAGACAGCTTGCTCAAGAATATCAAATAAATTGTTGTCAATGACACCATCCAGAAGACGATATTGCTTGATGCGGTTGATGGCTCTTTCCACATGAATTCTTACAGCAGCGATGGACTTCGTTTTGACAACACCCTGGGGGAGCATTTGATGTGCCTTGGTGTTAAATGGTGGAATGTTCAGCCGGACACCGTATGGAGCAAGGAGGTCTTGGATGTTGAAGCCCTTGTCCGCCATGACTGAGTCACCATGGTCCATCAGTGAGATGAAGCCCGAGTCAATGACTATATCCCTGTCCGAGATTGACCCCTCATACAACGTGGAGACAAAGCAGATAGTTCCGTTAGGAGTGATTCCAATGAGGGACTTGCACGTGGTGTGATTTTTGTAAGCCGAGAATGCTGCATTGTTGGTGGACAGACGGGACGGCCGCTCGATGAAAAACTCGGTGCAGTCAATAATGACTCTAGTAGTGGGGTAGTATATCTTGAAAGATTTGGGCATGTCTTTGTCGATACGCCGACGAGACGGAAACACCAGCATTTCTTTAAAGGTCACATATATCAAATTCACCCATGACGTGAAGTAGCTTGACAGGGTTGAACTGTCCACCTTGAATCGATCTGCCAGATCGTCCAACACGAGTCCTTGCCGTAACCTGACACATACAAAGAAGAATTGCATCTCCAGGCTGAGTTTAGGCAATGGACCATTCTTTCTCCCGAGTCGCTCACCATCAAGCTTCGTCCTCGATCCTTTCCAAGCTTGCATCTCAGCAGCGTCTGACTCCAGATAGTGAAAACATGCCATCAACATGTCAAATGACGTGAAGCCGGTGTAGAGCTTCACCATGTGGGCCTTCTCAGAGAACCTACGGATGTCAAATTTGTGCAGGACCAGGCTTTCCTTTGTCTGCCTGAGCTCCTCTTCCAATGTCTTTTGCTCTTTCCACAGTTTGGAGCAAAGACCCACACTCACATCCCGAGACGACTTAGCGGACTGCAGTTCTAAGTCAAGCTTCTCATTTTTCAAGTTCAATTCTGCTACTTGTTGCCTGAGTCTCTCCAACTCATCCACTGAGTCGTCTTGGTGGCTGCCCTCACCGTCATCCACAATCATTGACTGAGCATCTTCGTCACTCGAACTGGAGTCTGACGTAACCGGCTTCAAGAACACCCGCTTTTTTAGCTGGTGGTTTTCGCGAAGGGCCCTGTGTCGCTGATTTATGGAACGAGAAGACGGTAGGTACTGTTCCAGGTACCAAGCGCGGTCGAGGTTTGCCACCCTTTCCCTCCTTTTGTCTTCGTTTCAAAGCACGATCACTCACAACACGATAGTCACTTTCTTGGAAGTGTAGTCCGCAAACTTTTGTTGTTTTCGGCTTCACCTTGAAGTGCTTCCCTTCATCACGACGAATGGCATGTAGCCAAGCAGACTTCAAAGCACGATCGGTTGGAAAGTCATGGAACTTTGGTGAATTTGGTTTTCCATACTCAGATTTGCACAACGGAACACAACAGTAGCTACCAGTGACTCTAGGCTTGTCACCATAGTCTCCTGACAGAGAAGAATCGCTGCTGCCATCGGGATCCAGCCCAGTCGCCGCCATCACATACGGTACTACATGTACAATGTACAAAACTGAACTAAAGACACGAACAAGAAAAAAAGCACTGCACCAAACAATCAAAATAAATTTTTACAAACTCTTTCAAGTCTTTGGCAAGGAAGAGGTTGCGGGCAAAGACTTTTGCCCACAACTCGGCACTTTGCCACGGCACGCGATTACATCATGTCTCCCAAATATGGGATTACGCAATGAGCTTATGACGAATGGAATACTTGGGACAAATTCGATGCCCAGCCACTGTTCTCCTCGTCTTCGCAAAAATTGTAAAACAGACACCACCATGTAGATTCTACCATGGCCCGTTCGCGCTTTGTTATAATTATGTGGCATGTCGAGAGAACAAGTAAGTTGCCACGAACGAAAAGACACTCGAGAAAAAGCAAAACAGGGCCACAGAGCAGTCAGCAACAAAATGACTCCTCCGGTCGAAGGACACTCGGCTCTGAACAAAATGGCGAAATGCCACGAGTCACACCTGGTTTTCGAATTTCGCGCGCAGATTTTCGTGACGCACGCCTCAATTTCAAGACCTATTGTATTTGTGTATCGCTGCCTGAATGGCCTTGCTTGCTCTCTCCTACAAGAGCGCCTTACTCTTCGTGCTCACGGTGCTCACACTGCTGCCCTTACCCGTGGTCAGGTGTCTGCAGCGCTTGTTTTACCCCCTGCTAGCACGCTCTATGGTTTCAGTGGAATTTCTTACGTAGGCGCTGACTGGTGGAATGCACTGCCGCCTGCTTACCGCCTTTCTAATTCACCTGCTGAATATCGATGGTCCATCAAGACTTTCTTAGGGTTCCCTGTTAGAAGGCGATGACGCCTGTTGTCATGTTGGGAATTCCCTAGTAAAAATAAGAAAAATAAATAAATAAATACGGCAAGATGTAACAAAGGCCTACCATGCGACAAAACAGATAATACATCATCGGAATACCACTCACGACAACTAGCACTGCCTGGCAGGTGACACTTGATTGCCGAGGTTCTGTTTCCCTGACCCGACGACTTGGCCGTTGTCACCTCTGAGCCTGCCAATTGCCAGTCTCTCCCATCACGCCCTGCGTCCCTGCAATTCCGATTGCCTCGGTCGACATCGGTGTCCGTGTGGGAGCAAGCTCATTCCTAAAATATCCATCCCCGAAGTCGCAACCACTATTTCGTTCTGTTGCGCCCAGCGCGGGCTGGGGACTAGCTGGTTTGGAGGTGACAGCGTTGTGAATGACCCAGGGTCCTCTACGTCTGTTCTCACCGTCCAGGAGCGACACTGACACTGCTATCTGGTGTTCACGAGGTGTTTGTCGCGCTGGAAACGGAGCGCCTCTGTAAGTTTGTATCCCTTGTGAAGTTTGTGCCTGGAGAGCACTATAGGTGGTGCTCTTCAGGCACAATCTTCCTCAGTTGTGAGTCAGTCAAGTCAAGTCGGCGGAATAGCGCGAGCTCCAGTGTGGGAGAAAACTCATTCCTAAGAGTATAATTACCCGGTATGTAAAATGTAAATGGGTTCATATGCATTGACCGGCCATACATGTTCAGTATAAAGGGTGGAGGGGTAGGGGGCGAGGGGTAGCCCCTGGCACAAAATGACGCCAGAAAAAGTGTGCAGAATTCGGTATTTTCCTGGTGTGTGGATAAAGAAATGGAGCAGAATTCAAGGAAGTACCTGAAATAGGTGTTGTCTGTTTGCGCCAATTTCACTGTGGTTTTTGGAGCGGAATCTGTCAATTTTTCGAGCATTATCCACTAAGGCCACCCTTTGTTAATTCATTGTTTAACGTCCTTTTTTTCGCGAAAAGGTACGCGGGAGGGCGGAAAAAAAACAAAAGCCCATTCCAAAAACTGGAAACCCCAATCAAACATTTTGACCAGTAAAGCATGTGACATATAAAATAGTTCTGGGTCTAACGGCACTTGCAGGCATGGAACAACACTCTTTGATGGTACATTGGAGCACATGCCTGATGAATCCAACAAAACAGGTACATAGCATGGAGTTAGCATGTCATGAATTCATTACATCTGGATTTTTACAAGGGCACACACCGTACGATATTTAAAAGCCAACAAAAAAAAGAAAAAGAACACAAGACAAAGGCATGCCCGGGAGGCAAGATTATAAGTTTAAGGTCATGATCGGCACACTGTGAAACTACACAATCATGTATTTACAACTTCGCATATTATTGGTACTACTACTTTCTTGTTTTTTTTTCCGGTCGGAGGCAAAAAGGTACGCGGGCGCGGACGTTAAACAACGAAAAAAGAAAGGGTGGCCTAAGGGGCCGTCCGTAAATATCGATGTTTTTTAGAGACGATATTGGTGCGTCTGGGGGGAGGGGGTTTGAGCCATGTGCGTCTTTTCGAGCATCAGAAAAATATCGATGTAAATATCTGAAGTTTCGCCGATCCCTGCACGCGGACGTCTAAATGGCTATACAAGAAATGTGAAACCAGCTTCCGTTCGCGGAGCTAAAACTCGCCACACAAGAACAAAATCAAAAATTGGAAGCTGTACGCCCATGGCGAATTTCAAGAGCAAAAGAATGAGCTATTGATTGTGGAAATCGGCCGAACGATGCCTGCAGGAGACCTTTTTCAAGACGTAGAGGCAGTGCGAACAAACACGGACGAACTCCACAAGAGCTTCCAGTCTTCACTGTCTGAACAAGGATTTGAAAAAATTCAAGCCCGAGCGTAGCCGCTTTGGCTACACCAGTACACGGTGGCTGTGAGCACGGCACTGCAGCGCCAACCCGGTTCGCTCCCCCCAGGCGATGCAGCTATTGCGTGAGTGCGGCGGGATTTTCACGCCTACACCGGACCCTCAACATGACAACATCCTGGGCACTTCATGAGCATCCAAAAAATTAATATTGATTCCATGATCTAGATGTACATGTGCGTCTTCTGGGGGGAGGGAGGGGGGTCAAGGGAGAGAAGCACCAATATCGTCTCTAAAAAAACATCGATATTTACGGACGGCCCCTAAGGAGCAGTCCCTAATTAATATCGATCTTGTACACTAGAGAACAAGTTTCGTTTACGGGTGGGTGGGTCAACGGGATCTTCGTTTTGAAAAATGTTGATATTTGAGACATCATGGCCTTCTTGCTGTCAAGTCAATCTATTTTTCGTTCAGGGGGTTGGGTGGGCGGGGGAGGGTCGTAATAATTGGACCGCCTGCTCAAGGCTGCGCATGCGCTTTTCATATCATGTCCTTCGAAGCACTTTCCATGTGCCAACTGGATAAAAAACTTGGAAGTTCAAGAGATCAAACCGTACACATTTAATACACGTATTCAGCCTAGTTCATATTTGCCTGGGCGCGACGGGACGCGACGTAAGGATCGACGGGAAGCGATGGGACGGTCTGACGGCGTCCATTATGTACACCAGAAACGGGAACAAAACCGTACTACAGTACAGATCGGGAAACGACGGGAAGAGTTGAATCAGTTCAACTTTTCTTCTCGTAAGCGGGCGTAGACGGGGACGCAAGCTTACAAAACGGCTGCAACTCCAGTGTGAATAGGACACTGCGCCGTGCGCCAAATACTTCCGATTCGTACTTGGACAATTTTAGCATTTCGAACACTGCGCTTCCCATTATAATTCACAGGATGGCTAACACAACTTGAGTTGAATTTTAGCAACATAGGATCTTATTAATGTGTGCAAGCTCCACTGCGGCCACTTAATTAAATGGAAAACTTTACACACACCATCTGCAGTCCAAGTACTCTCTTCGCTGCAAATTACAATAATTCTCAACATTTTCGGCCAGGGGCCATAATCTGGATTGAGAAAGAGAGAGAGAGAGAGAGAGAGAGAGAGAGAGAGAGAGAGAGAGAGAGAGAGAGAGAGAGAGAGAGAGAGAGAGAGAGAAAGATAGAGAAAGAGAGAGAGAGAGAGAGAGAGAGAGAGAGAGAGAGAGAGAGAGAGAGAGAGAGAGAGAGAGAGAGAGAGAGAGAGAGAGAGAAAGAGAGAGAAAGAGAGAGAGAGAGAGAGAGAGAGAGAGAGAGAGAGAGAGAGAGAGAGAGAGAGAGAGAGAGAGAGAGAGAGAGAGAGAGAGAGAGAGAGAGAGAGAGAGAGAGAGAGAGAGAGAGAGAGAGAGAGAGAGAGAGAGAGAGAGAGAGAGAGAGAGAGAGAGAGAGAGAGAGAGAGAGAGAGAGAGAGAGAGAGAGAGAGAGAGAGAGAGAGAAAGAGAGAGAGAGCTCCATCCTGATGATGGCTCCCAGTGACCGAACATTTGATTGAGAATTATTTTAACTTGTAGCGAAGAGACCACTTGGATTGAAGATTGTGTCTGTAATGTTTTCCATATAAGATGTTATGTCACTTTTAGTATTATGGGATAGTTCAAGAGCGTGGCAGGAGAAATGTTTGTCATTTCCTCTGACTAGTCTTAGAATGCCACAGCATTCAGGGCTAATTGCTTGGTCTTCATGAAAAATAGCACATGTACTGTGAACTTGATTCTGTTTCATTAAAGGAGAATTTATTGATAAAAAGTCCAGAAAAACGAGAAATTAGATTCAAAAGTAACCCCGTCCTGGACACTCGCGCCATTTGACGTTGAACCTCGCAATGACTGCTGCTTGTCGTATCGTAACAGGATATTTAAGCTCGCCCAGCACTTACCCCAGCCGTCCCGACAGCGGCGACAGGCCCCGTACCGTCAGCTTTGCGTAGAATGTGAATCACGATCTATTGATCGAATACTACAATTAGACCAGCGCCTCGTGCGACGTGCATCTTTTGTGGGTTAGCACGTGACCTTCTGTTTTGTGGGTTATCACGTGACCTTCTGCTTTGTAGGTTATCACGTGACCTTCTGCAACACTGTATACTGTAAAACCGGAAAGTTTAACGAACAAAAAGTTTTAAAAAGGTTTTTGTAATTGTGGCATGATTACGTGCAGCAAGTTTAACGATGGCTACGTGGCCACCCATCTGTATGCGCATCTTTACACAGACATCTAGCGCTACAACGTTTTGTTCGAATGACAAAATAATAATTATTGGTCATTAAAACGCTAGACTTTGTGACTCGTTAGATTTTCCGGGTGTACAGTAAGACGTTTATTTCGGTGTAACTTTAATTTCGCTAATTTCCGTGGAGAAACCAGGCACATACACCTATAAGTCGCTAGAGTGTGCACTGTAAACATGTATGAAGGGTAGGCTGGTCACCTAATTCTACATCACACCACATTAAACCTGGCAGGTTCCCGACACCGAAGTTTCATAACACGTAAAACTACAGGTTGTGCAGGAACAAGTAGTTCAAGTACAGTACAGTGCTGGCAACTGAAATCCGACCCCCCCCCCCCTAGAGGTGCGCTAGCCGCGTTAGCGATTCGTACGAGACGCTAGGGGGGGGGGGGGTCGGATTTCAGTTGCCAGCACTGAACTTGGCCACTTAAGCACTCCCCCATACTCTAAACTGGTATGCGTATGCACCCTCAAGCCAGCAGAGGTGGCAGGTCCAACACTAACGTTACACCATCAACCACACCCACTCATGCACACACACCCACACACACACACACACACACACACACACACACGCACTCACGCGCACTCACGCACACACATGCACACACACACACCCACACACCCACCCACACACACCCACACACACACACACACACACACACACACACACACACACACACACACACACACACACACACACACACACACACACACTTGTACTTGTTGCACACTGCCAAAACTGGTCTTGGGTCTCCCCGGGAGAGGGAAGAGAGACTCAAAAGGAATCTTGGAAAGATGACTCAATTGACTATTGAACCGCCCAACGGCCGACACCCCCTGAAATCCCCAAACCTCTGGGTGGACTTGAAAATGATCCCACTTATGGGCTCACCACACCTCAGTAAGTGGGTGAGGACAAGGTGCAGAAAAAGGACTGACGACACACACACACACACACACACACACACACACACACACACACACACACACACACACACACACACACACACACACACACACAAACACACACACACACACACACAGTGCTACTCCGAGTTCAATGGCCGTCTTTATTCATAGCCATTCACGAGAGAATGAGAACAGAAAGTACATTCTGTGCACAGTAGGAAGTGCAAATCTACAGAGAGCGTAGCATAGTTAGAGGACAAAAACAAGATAATCTACAGAAAATAATTCACACACAAAATAATTCACACACAAAAGACACAACGGAGGTCTACAGATTTGGTTTTTGCTATATGCAATCATCAGGCGACTTATAGTACTCCACGTTATTGTGTCCATCCCTCTCCGCTGGCAGAATGAAGTTTTCCTCCTTGTACAACACATTTTAGGGATGCTTAGGGTGCAGCGAGGGGGAATTGAAAATTAGCATGGTAACCGGGAACAACAGCAGGCGCAGGCTCACCTAGAAAATGGAGGCACACGAGTGTACGCACACACATACGGCCACACACACGTATACACACACACACATGCCACACACGCACACATGAAACACGCAGTGCAAAGAATCAGCCAACAGCATGTCACATGCCCCTCATGTCATTGATGTAGAATTTGATTAGGGGTGTCATCGGGTAGTAGAGTGCTCATGCTAGCCGTAATTCGAGTGGGTATTCGGGTAGTAGTTGAAGTACTGCATTTTCAACTGTATAAGAAACATGGCTGCATGTCCACTGTACACTGTCTTTGCAGCGCAAGCGCCCACTCTCTGTACCCACTACTAATATGTCAAATTCCCGATAGCAATACCTGAACTCGTTACCCGACCAAACTCCTACCCGTTTCAACCCAACTTTGATTACTTGCAGTATCAGCCCGCATGTGTAGGCTGCTGCGCGAGGAGATAAAACGCTTTGAATAGAATGAAGGCTGCATGCATAACGTTGATCTTACGAGTATATCCGAAATTCAACAACGCGTTCTTTCTGATTGCTCCAGTCAGGTTCAAACTAGTGCCATGCAGACATAAAAAAGAGCTTGAAAATATAAGTATATCCCTTATCTTCTCTGGGTATGTTACTTTTACTGATGAATGAGGTTTCAAAGCATTTTAGTCGCATATCGTACAGGGATTCGGAAAAACGTTGTATGTCCACGCGCAGCAGCCTTCACATGCTGGCTGATACTGCTAGTTTTAAAAATCTTTAATGGCAATTTTCATTTGTTGAACGAGTTGGAAAGGGAAAGTCTGTAAAATAATTTACTGTAACCACCAGGACCCAAACCGGGGACCTTCGTTTGAGGCCAGCGATGCTCTTACCACTGAGCTATGGTGCAGTTTTCATCCAAGCAGAGACAGTTCAACATTTACAAAACTCACACCTCCTGTGACACTACACAGGCTGCTGCGAATTTCCGCTTTTCACAGTATAGGGGTTTGAAAAAGTTTCAAAGGGTCCCGACATGGAAACGAGGGTATACATAGAGTAGGATGCAGGGAACACTAACAATATGTTTGAATTAAGTGTGTGCCCTCATGATTCTTCAAGCCCTAAGAATTTGAGCAAAATTGGGCTGAAAACGGTGCGGGCATCTGGACTTTTCTTCAGCATAGTCCTGACCTACCATATTGCCAACCCTAATACTCACAACAAGTTTCATAACTTACGTTCACACTTAAAGCCAATATCCGAGTTGACACAGACTGGATATATGAAATTGCAAGTCTCTTCTACCGCCACGCAACGATTGATGCCTGAAAAACAAGGAAATGAGGAGAGGACAACAGTGTCGGTCGTTGAGCGGTTCAATAGCCGAGTCATCTTTCCAAGATTCGTTTTGAGTCTATCTCTCTTGTGCTGGGGAGACCCACGTGACCCGTTTTGGCAGTGAGCAACAAGTACAAGTACAACTAAGTGTGTGTGTGTGTGTGTGTGTGTGTCGGTGCATGCGCGCGTGCATTTGTGTGTGTGTGTGTGTGTGTGTGTGTGTGTGTGTGTGTGTGTGTGTCGATGCGTGCATGCGTGCGCGCGCGAGCGTGCGTGCATGTGTGTGTGTGTGAAAAAAATGGAAAATGAAAAAAAGGGATTCACTGGCCAGAAAAAGTCACTACCAGCTGTGTGGTGGACACCAGGCTACAAATAGTGGCGGTCAATTCATCAGCCTTGCAAGCTGTTGAATGGTGTAATCCCAGCACAAGTTGCTATGTCTAACGTAGCTGTTCACTATCATCGCTTCCGCGATGGGCAGGTCTGAGATCTGAGCATAGATCCCGCGAAAGGGATTTTGGTGTTTGACCATTTTGGTGGTGGGCCTGATCTACGCAACTCGCACCGGTTTAGGAGCTGCATCTGCGGATTGATCCTTGAGGGTGGTGGCGTACCTAGTGATGCGCAAATTTTGGTCTCCACCCGAGTCTCAAACAAAAAATGAATTATTTATATAATTATAACTCGGATGTTGAGCCAATAATAAATGTAGAAAGGAAGAGGACATATGGATACGAGTTAAGAGTAACTCTCCATCACTGTAACCAGATACTATATACAGTCAGAAAGTGCAACAACTAGACACGAAGCTGACAAAGTACTGATACATTTGACGTTCTGACACCTAGCTTCAACACATCTCCGTAGCGCAAACAGATAGCCTTCCAACTCGGAAGGTTCAAGGTTATAGTATATAGTATCTGGTTACAGTGATGGAGAGTTACTCTTAACTCATATCCATTATGTCCGCTTCCTTTCTACGAACTTAGAAGTTGCAGGGAGTGGTGCTTTCTTTCAGGTTTGCCAAGCGGAAGGTGCGACGTGCTCCTCGTGTGCTCCGGATGGCAGTCGTGAGTCAGTCAAGTGTCAAGTTCGGCAAGAAGCATGTGCTCCTCGTTGGAGAAACCAACTTCATTCCTTTCTACATTTATACAATTAATATAATTTGCCTCAAACTAGTGAAAATAATATAATTCATTTCCTCCGTGCTGCGCTGACGAGTCCACAAAGGACGAAACAGTTCTGTCCGCAGATTGAGTATAATTATTATATATATTTTGCTGCCTTTGCTGTTTGCATTACGCAGAGCTCACTGACTTGTCAGTTTGAGCACTCTGGCAAGGTAAGTTCGGGCCTGATTTAAATCTGGCTTTGGAAATTTTTTAGTTTCACTGCTATCAGGTTCGGCCTCATTTTCTCTGTACTGCGCTGAGGAGTTCACAAAGAACGAAACAGCATGCTGTGCGCAGATCGAGTATAACTGTTTACAAGTAATAGTGAGAGGTGGCAAGGAAGTGAAGGGCGAGGGGTGAAGGAAGTGTGAAAAGAAAAGGGGTGTCTCTGTCACACAACATGTAAATGTTCGGTCGCAGACTATGTATACTTGGAAGAGTAAGAGAGTAGATTAAGCCTGACCTTAACAAGCTAGCAAGTATACCCATGCCCAATGGAGCCCAATCAAGCCGTGCCCCTGGTGGAAACAGACTAAACCACTGACAGCAAAGAGCGGAGGAGGATACATGTACATGTATGCCTGTACTTCATACTGCCCGGGGTGGGTTACGTACAGTATTCAGGGTCAAATGAATGCATTATGGCGCGGCATAGAGCTAGTTCTGGTAATAATAACCCTCAACACTGTGTGAGAAAAGTGTGGAGAATTATTTGCGAGTTGTCCATGAGGTTGAAACTACGCAAGCCAAATGGTCAGTAGGTGTGAAGATCGTATTGCCGTCCCCAAGTTGCTGGTAGGTCCAAAGTTATTATTCACGAATTTGACTGTACACAGCGCAAGTGACAACAAGTCTCACATCCTACCTCTGCACTCGTAGCCCTTTGAAGTTGAGACGCATTTGTGGTTCTCGGGACACAGCTGCTCTCCAAGGCATCGATCAGGACTGATATCTGCCAGACAAGGACATCAGGGGGTACAAGCCAAGTCAATAATGAAGAGTGCTGCAGGCTGTGAAGTCTTGCACAACCAGCATGTGTGCCATCTACCAAAAAAGGCCAACTTAGCCACCTATGTATGTACGTATGTATATTTTCATTTGAATTCGCATGTACTCGCGGGCTACAAGCCCAATTACATGGAAGCGAATGTGATAATGAGGTTAATTATGAAACAGGCCTATTGTCTGCCTTTCTTGCCCCAAACATTGCTGCCCTGGCTGCATGCTATTCACATTCTGGTGGTCCTTCTGAACAGGCACCCTGCACATCTGACCACGTACGACTCTGCGCAGGGACATCCACCTCGCACCCATCTACATTTTCGAAGGCCAGCTGCCTTTGTGATCTCGGGAATCATTGCAATTGCATTCCATGCTGAACGGCAGCCAATGATTTACTTTAGTCATCGAAACTCACCTTTGATACAGACAAAGCCGCTTGCACTCACGGTCGAGTGGCGCAGTACGTTTACAGGTAAGTGTAGCTGAGGGTTCCTGAGAGCATACTTGGCGATTTTCCTGCCCTTGTTCAGCATCCAGATATCACTCATGCCACCGAAATTGAGCTTTACCTGGACACATGGGTGAAAAGAGAAGAACACAAAGAACAAGACATAGGGTTAAGGATGGAGCATGAACAGGAGCGAGAGTGGATAACACCACCCCCCCCCCCCCCCCACCTCCCCCCCCCCCCCCCCCCGTCTTAGTCTTGCCATACATGTATAGCATCGTAAAATGAAGAAAAAAAACCCAGAAAACTGCCCAACCAGCACCGAGTTCAATCTGAAGAGTTCAATAACATTTCAACTAACACACTCAGACAAAAACACACACAAGCACACACAGACACACACAAACACACGCAAACACACACAAATGCGCACAAATACACACAAACGCACACAAATACACATAAACACACATACACACACATACACACACATACACACACACACACACACACACACACACATGCACACACATACACACACACAGGTGCACTTACACACACAAGCACACACACACACACACGCATACGCGTGCATGCACACCCACCCACAAACACACACACACACACACAAACACACTATTACTTAAGTGACTACTACAACCACTACTATAGATAGCATGACTGCCCCATAGGGCCACGTCATTTTCCCCGTGACAGCGACCCAGAGTAAGGGTAAGAGAGTCAATGTTGGCGAGCCACACACACACACACACACACACACACACACACACACACACACACACACACACACACACACACATAAACACACACACACACACATGCACACACACACACACACACACACACACACACAAACACACACACACACACACACACACACACACACAAAATACTCACAGCGAATTGTGGGTGACCGATAAGACTTGGTAAATCCTTGTATCGCATCAGTTTCAAACCCTGGAGCTTGCACTGGGATCTAGCCACTGGAGAAGTGACACTGAGTTCGGTGATAGTTACACGGTATTCTCCTGCGGTGAAATTGTGTGCTGTTGAGGAGATACACCAAGGTCAATCAAACAGCAAGTCATGGCCACCAATCTCTTCCATTCATTTCGTATCATGTACCTGTCACTCCTTTCATTTTTCTCCTTTTTTCCTTTTTGGTATGTCCCCATGACGTCGCGACCTCAGGTCGGCTCGGCTGAGGGCAAAAAGCCTCACCATCACTGTCCTCCGACTATGCAATTTTTTGTCTTTGCCTTTGAGCTGTGATCATTGTAAAAAAAATTATATAAAAATAAACCTCTATTCTCACATTAGTCTCATTTTCAGAGCAAAACTAGAGTAGCCCCAGGCTTATGATGGAGGTGACAATTATTGTTAATCAAATATGCCATCACGGCTTTAAAAGTGCACACATTCAGTACGGAATTGCCACGGTACAAGCATCCATAGCACACTGGTCTAAGAACATCCTGTAAACTTACTGGGTGGAAATGGTGCTTGGTTTGAGCATCGCGGCAGACAAAGGTTAAATGGCTCACGGTCTGGAATGTTGACCTGGTCGTTACAGCTGTAGACCTCTGGCAAGCCTCTGCATCGGAGCACTTCGCTCCTGGTGTCCACAGCTGGAGCAGAGCTGGCCATCAGCGACTTGTAGTTGGCTAGTAATACACAGGCATCACAGCAGAGCAGAACACACGATTGCCGGGATTTGGCACCATGGGGAAGTGCAAGTGTGAAGAGTTTACATACAAAAAACCCCAAGCGTACAAAATTGGAAAATAGCGATTCTGCACTCAGCAGCAGCAGCAGCAAGAACTCGACCATCAGTTTCATGAAAACGTTCACGTCTCAGCAGAACTACCGGAACTTAGGACAATCCTTGGACATAAATGGGAAGATTTTATTTCCTAACGCTCTTCCACAGCAGCTGAAGAGACCAAGGCTCCAGTATACATGTTACGCAAACACGACCCGAAGAATCCCTTGAATCATTCCCTGCACCGTATAATAAACCATTTCTGCTCTATGTCCACACACAGATTATCACATGGAGTGTGCACTGGGAATTCCCCGTTCCAAGTTAGGCAACTTTCTCTGTAACATGGATGACATGCACACGATCTCAGCGTATTTTCTTGCGTGTGCCACGCCGTCGAGAACCTGATACCTGGACTCAAAACATGCGAAGCCATGGACTCTAACCCAAACACCTATTCTCTACATTATTTTGTCCATGTTTCACGTAGAACGGAGCCTTCCAATGACGTGGACTAAGCTTCTTAGAAATGGAAGAAAAAGAAAATAAATGAAAAGGACTCTTGACTGGAGAACAACGTACATGCTCCTATCCACATAAACTTGAAAAGAAGAAAACACTGATGGGGAATATCATCACAGAGAACAGCACAAAGCACAATCTGTATGTGGTTACAAATACAAGCCAGCATGTGCCACCCATTTTGCCAATGTAAACAATGTCAATGCAATTACGTCAGTGTGCTACCCCGATTAATTGTCTCGCTTTTGTGTCACTTCGTGACCACCACGGTTCTCAGTCGATAATGATGATACCAAGAAACAATTCGAATGTAGCTCATGAGTGAGATCAGCCATGGGGTTAATGCATGTGTGGGTAAATCAGAAACAGAAACAATAATTACATGTACACGTTCACTCCAGGATGCTGTTGTAGACACTATGGTTCTCTGTCGCGAGTGTTCGATTATCTGCACTCATCCACACCCTGCCGCCTAGTCTATTCACGCAAGAGGAAACCGATGGTTCTGAACTTGCACATGAGCGCTCACTTCACTCTTATTCCCCCCCCCCCCCCCGATTGTTTATTGAGATCCATATTGTGAATTGTCACTGCATAACACACAACACATAACACCTTTATTGATATCCAATACTCACTTGGAAGACAAACAAAACCAAATACTTGTTCATCATTCTGGGGAATAGTGAAGTCTTGAACGCCCAGGGCCGCATCAAACGCATACTGCCTGTCGTTGGCGTCGACGTTCCAAATAGGATTAGCCCTGTTGAGCACACAGCCGCGCTCCTCAGCGCTCAGAGTAGCCAGAAAGAGATGGTTGAGCAGAGTAGAGTTGGCGTTCAGGCAGCTCTGGCGTGCGCTGTCCAGTGTGACGCCATGGTCACCACTGAGATACGTGGAAGCACCGCACCTGAAGGTGCCTGCACGTGGCAAAAAAAAGCAAAGCGAACACGGAGACACGGAGACATGACTTGTAATGCAAAATATGCATGCTTCTGAGCATCAACAGGGTGCATACATTGCTGCTCAATGGAATCTGATCATGCGCCCCTCTCTAATTGAGCACTTGTTAATCCGGAACCCTTGCAAACCAGCACACTTTCTGACAATGCAGATTTTTAATTTCATTTTATACGCTTTAATCCGGTACTTTCATTTCTGGATCCACTAAGCGATTTTTGCAACAGATCGCTCAACCTGTACATACGATGCTTTTCGTAGTACAAACTTCGAACACTCAAAATTCACCCAAAAAGGTAGGATGCGGCTTACACTGCGATGATCAAATTAACGATGATAAAATTAATAGTTATGACGTCTGCATTTCTTGGCAAGGAATGGGTGTGTAGCTTACACTCCAAAAAAACTGTAACTCGATTATATAACCCCAACAGTAACACATCGCAGCCTGCAGCGGTGCATAGATATGCCAGCTTGATCAGTGCAAGATGTGTATGAACTAACTTATCAGGGCAAAGTCTTCACATGCTACAAACAGTTACGCACTGCATTAGTTAGACATGCATTCCGCAAAGTGCCTGGATTGACACAGAAAATTCCTGCGTATAACGCAAACATGAATGCTAATAGGTGGGCCAGGCAGGGTCATTTGATAATCCAGCACCCTTGTTTATCCAGCAGAAAATGCCGTTACTCAAGGTGCGAGATTAGAAAGAGACAATTGTAGTACCCTGTGCCACTGAGGGACAAAGTCACAGGAGTGATTGCAGCACTGGAAGAAACATATCCTATGTTTTCCTCCTAGCACCTCGTACCCAGATCTTCACAGGTAGGGAGTTTGGTTGTTTCATTTGCAGAAAAATCTGATTTCTAGTTTGGTTGTCCCTATTAGCGTATTCTTCAGTTTAATATAGACAGACATTACCTAAATAGACATTACACGGACAAACACTGCATAGACAGGCACGACATGTATACACATTTCATTGACAAACACTGCATAGACAGACATTAACAACTGTACATGTGCATACAAATGCATGTTCGTCCACCCTTGCACAACTGACGAAAACACACCTTATGTGTCAACATTCAAAGAGCCCCCTGTCGAACGAATTTTTTCACCGACCGTTCTTGTACTGTGCTGTGTGCAAAAGCGAAAAGGACTCACGTCTCTAATGGCTTTCCTTCTATCTACTCAACTTTATTGAGTCTTACTTACATAGCAACTCGGTCGTTTAACCGCTACTTAAGTTCTAAGTGACCGTATTTGGAGTGAATGGATCAGGAAAACTAACGGTCGCGAGACAGATAAAGCAATGATTCAGCTCAGTCGCCATCAGCAGTGCAGGTGGCAAGTCACGCATGCAGGCTAGTCTCGCGAGAGGCAGAGTCCTACCCTAGCGTAGCAGGATGGCATGCCTACGACAATCTTGTACTGTACTTACGCATGTCGATACTGGCAGTGTGGCATGACGGAAGAACCACAGCTAGGCCTAGGAGCAGCACCAGTGTCAATGCCGGTGGTGCCCTTACTCGGGATCCACACGATGCCATTCTTGATGATTATTCTTGTTTGGGAGAGAGGAGAGAAATGCGAAACTGGACAATGAACGGAAAGTGGTCTAACTGAAGCCGTGCGCCACTCTCGATGTTCTTTTATTGCCAACTGACTGCAGTTGTACGACTAGCACCTTTCTCTGTCCTTTTATGCATCGAAGGGGTCTCTTTAAGCCCCGCATTCTACGCGCGTTTTTTTTCTACGTGCGGCTCTCAAAAGGATGATCCGGCTCCCAAAAGGGTTTCTCTCTTTGGGTGTTTGTACCGACCAGTGCCTCCTAACTACTGCGTACTGTCTGTCTGCTCTGAAGACACCGTGCGCCGCGCACCAGTTTGGGATGCCTAGAAGTTGCAGATGTACGATGTGCTGAGCTACTTGCAGCCTGCAGCGCATCCTCTTTCGCGCGATGCTCCTTTCTGCGCCCATTTAGTGGCCGGTGGCCGTTTTTGGAGGTAGTCTAGGGATCCCAAAACACGTCCCCTGCTCAAGTAGCACTATAAATGCGTACAATGGCATCCAAAAACTGTCCATGTACTGATGCGTAGAATCAAGACGAAAGACAAGACGCAGTCGCACCACGAGCCTCCTCTCGATTTGGTTATTCCTCTCTTTCTTATTTAGCCGCTGACCGTACCGCTGGAACTCAGTTCCGGCATCGGTCCGCCTTGCTTCACCAAATCAATTTCGTATCGCAATCCCAGATTGGCTAGGGTGCCCCGTAAGGAGACCATAGGTCTGTGGGGACTGCCCTAGAGAGATATGAATAAATACTATCCTATACTATACTGACTACAAAAATTCCCATTACGCCTGCGCACCAGATCAAGAATACAAGATCTAGATGTGGCGCCTCTTCACTCCTTTTTCGGTCGCGTCGAGCGAGCTGTACTCCAGATTCCGAGAGGCGAGCTCACGCCCCTACATGGTTACTTCCCATTGTTGAACCCTCAAGACGAAAGAAGCACATGGATACGCCGAGTTGCCGAAATAATTAGATATGATTGTACTGATGAGTACCATGAGTATGAAGACAAAAGGCTAAAGCTCTACCAGGGAGACTTCAAAAGACCCTTTCTGCTCTGGCTCATACTGTACTTTATGGACCGGGCAAAAACGGAAATACGGAGCTGTTTTTGCCTCGTTGGTAGGATTTCTTTGGCCCCGACTTTACGGCTCCTTCTTCTTTATAAGCTGTCGACGGAGGCTCCCTTGATTTAGGCTGAAGCCTGTGCATGTGGATCATGGAGAATCCACACAATTATGCAAAGGAAAGAAGGCGACTATTATCATTATAATATTTCGAACATGGCAATCCTCACAGGCCTGGGGCCTTCTTACAGGGTACCCTACATGTACACACAACAGAGGCGAAAGGCTGTAACCATGACTATACATGACAGTACATGTATGTGAGTCGCATTTGCACATGTCTTAGGTTTTCAGAAAAAGTTCAATCCCCCAAGTATCGCCGAAGTGGCACCAATCTCCCCTTCACATTGTTGCCTCCGGCGCGGGCTTGCGAATTAGATGGTTTGGAGGCAACAGCGTTGTGAATTGCCAACGGTCCTCATTGTTTGTTCAGCACCTCCATGAGCGACACTGACTCGCGCTGCTATCTGGTGTTCACGAGGTCTTTGTGGCGCTGGAAACGGAGCGTCTCTGGAAGTTTGTATCCCTGGTGAAGTTTGTGCATGGAGAGCACTATAATAAGTGGTGCTCTTCAGACACAATCTTCCCCAGTCTATTCAAACTCAACTGATGAGGGGTGGGCGCATTTAACGTGTGGCTGGGGGTAGAAGCGAAAACCAATTCACTATGACTTTAGTACTGGAGATATGATAAGCGATTTTGTAGCGTCAACAGAGGTAACGAAAAGAGTGCATAGGTGCACAAGCACGCAGAGAGGAAGTTCACATTGGATTCTGTCAATCGGCGTAGTCGGTCCAGTCGGTAGCCAATGGACGATATTGTAACTTGTTCGAAATATTGGCAGATCCTGCTCGAAAAACAGTGAAATTGGAAGAACCACACAAACCTAATGGCAGGCACTTCCTTGAATTCTGCTCATCTTCTTTATCCCGGCACGAAACATGCATGAAACATACCACAACAAGTACCTAATTCTGCCATTTTTCTGCCGGCACTATAATGGCACTATAATAATAATCTTTATTCCCGTAGCTATGCAGAAGACGTTACTTCAGTAACGTCTGGCGCTAGGGCTTGGCGGATAATGCCGGCAGAAAAATTGGCAGAATTCGGTACTTTTTCTGGTAAGTTTCATGCATGTTTGGTATGTGGATAAAGAAATGGAGCAGAATTGGAGGAATTGCCCGCCATAAGGTTTGTATGGTTCTGCCAATTTCGGTGCAAAAAAAAGCAGAATCTGCCACCTTTTCGAGCATTATCCGCCAAGGCCTATCTGGCGCTAGCCAGAGTCCACACAGCTTTAATTTGGTATTTGTGTGTTTGTGTGTTTGTTTGTGTCACGCCTGGCGCTATCCCGTATCTGACGACAAAAAAATCATAGGGATGTTATAAATTTTTCAATTCTCCTATTTTTTCAGGCATATCCTGGGATTCGAACCCGCACTATCGCCCTACATGCATTCCCCCATACACTTCGCATTCATACACATTCTTCCAAGTTGCTTCACGTTATTCCTGCCGACTTGAATCCTCACTTGACTGACTCATGACTGCCATCCAGAGCACACGAGAAGTCCATCGAACCTTCCACTCGGCATACCTGCAAGAAATCACCACTGCCTCAGTGCCTGCTCAATACACAGTGTTTCGGGGAATCCTTTTTAGCGCGTATTGGCTTGTGATTTCCTTTCTTCTGTTTGCTTTAGCATTTTATCGTTCCACAGGTACCCTCGGTCTCAGGTACTCTCATGTTTGTGCAATTGTTAATTTTGCTCCTGATTTGTCCTCCCTGTTGCTTTGCTACCGTCTTCCTCCTTCCTCCACCCTTTTTCTTAATTCACCTCATTATCACATTCGCTTCCATGTAATTGGGCTTGTAGCCCGTGTGTACTTGCGAATTCAAATAAAATTATACATACATACATACATACATCCACCCCATCGGTTTTCCCCGAAACACTGTGTATAGGCCAATAGGCCTCGACCAAATATGCTAAAAAAAGAGCATTTTATGCTAGTCGCATATCAGGGAAAACGTCCATAATGACTATGCCAAAGGCTTAGCAAGATATGCAAAAAGATATGCCAATATATGCCACAAAAATATGCTCGAGATAAGCAGAAAGTGTAGGTCATTTCAGTAAAATTACAACCTTGGAATATTCATTGGCTTCAAGGCTATCATGCTTATGGTGCAAATCAAAAGACATGCGGAATAGGATGGCTGCGGTGTGTCCCCAGCAACCGTAGCGATAGTGTTCATCCATGTGGAAATGTAGCAAACGCCTCAACCATTCCAAACTCATCCATAAAAGACATTTCTGAACGCATTTTGTCCATAATATGAATGTTTTGTCCTCATTTTCTGCAGAATATTTGAATTATATGCTGGCTTCATTCCAATATTCCCTTTGTCGACTTATATGCTATAATATGAGCTGTGTCACAAAATACGCGGAAATATGCGCAAGCATATTTGATCGAGGCCTAGTAAGGAACAGTATGTTGGTGAAACGGAAAGAACTGTTCGTAAGCGTTTTGACACTGACTCACGCCACCGCCTAGTCCTCGCATCCTCGCGATGTGTTTGTCGCGCTGGATACGGAGCGTCACTGTACGTAACCCTGGTGATCTTTTGGCTCTCGGATCAGAAATGCCATTAGCCTACTCCAGCTCAACTAATGAGGGCTGAATTCCCCGAAACACTGTGCCCTTAATTAATAGGGTCCGGCGGATTCTGCCGGCAGAAAAATTGGCAAAATTCGGTACTTTTTCTGGTAATTTTCATGCATGTTTGGTATGTGGATAAAAAATGGAGCAGAATTCGTGGAATTGCCCGCCATAAGGTTTGTACGGTTCTGCCAATTTCACTGCTTTTGGAGCAGAATCTGCCACCTTTTCGAGCAGAATCCGCCGGTGCCTAGCACTGAGTGAGGGGGGGGGGGGTGCTTTCTTGCAGGTTTGCCTGGTGGAATGTTCAACGGGCTTCTCGTGTGCTCCAGACGCAGTCGTGAGGCATTCCAGTGTAAAGTCAGTCGGCAGGAAGCGCGAGCTCCGACGTTCGGAGCAGACACTTTCCTCACGAATCACCGGCCGCCGAAGTCGCAACATCTTCAAAGTTCGTATTATTATCTCTCCTTTATTCACTTCTTTCGAAGGCGATAAGCCAGACCCACCGGGAAATATTTCCATGGGTGGGACAGCAAAAAGAAAGTGAAAAAACAAACAAAAATAAATAAATAAATAAAACCTTTAAAAAACAAAGGGACAAGAAACAGTTGAAGGAAGAGGAAGAAAGGAAAGAAACTCAATCCGAACTCCAACATCAAAACAATAATAAAGAATTTGCAGCGACAGGCAAAATACATCAACCAATGAAGGGAGTAACAAAGGAAATATCAGTCTTTATCAGTCGTTATTCAAGTCTCTTAGCTATTGAACATGCAAACGCAGCAGAGGTGCATCTACATGTTAAGGATAGTTCTTAGTATTTTAATCGAACCTTGTATAGCCTCCTGTTGCACAATAGCCAGGTCTCCTCCCTTCACAGTCCGAAGGCATTGAGGAGTCTCCCTCACCAAAGCCTCCCAGGGCACCGACAACCACAGGGACCACGTCAACCTGGGCGAGGGACCAAATCCTCGAAATCTCCCGCTTCAAATCATAATATTTCGAGCGCTTTTCAGCCATTTTCTTATTGATGTTGTTCTTATTATTATACGCATTTCCGCGGCAGCGTCAACCAAGCAGTTATGCTTGATCCACACGTTCGCTTATGCTGGACATTGAAACAGAGCAGATGTAGATATCTCCTAGAGAATGGGGCTCTACAAACCAATGACCAAAGTAAGTACTTCAGTAACGTAGAGTAACATGGAGCGTCATAAAATTGGTGTCATTGGGGAAAACGTCATCATCATTGACTTTGTCTAAGTT